TGTTCAAGAAAATCAAATATAAATGATTGTCCACATACTGAATTTCCAATACCAGATATATCACCATCGAATTGTTCCATTAAACCTTGTACATAGCTTGCACTAGATAATACTAGTACTTCACCCCATGAACTACCTTCTATAACAAATGAAATATTTCTAAATGATAATTCACTTTTCGTAAACCATATACTATCTTCTTGTAAATACTAATCGACTAGTTATAGAATATGCGAGTAATGTGAACTAATGGTAATATGACTTGAAAATGAAATAATTCAGGAAGAGAACATTTTGGTGATGTCTAACAACGATTAGTATCTTCAAGAATATAAAGCATGTGTGCAAAAAGTAGAATTTGATTATCTAGTTGTCGATCAACAGAACCAACATCTAGAATAAAATTGGTATCTTTGTGTTTTATCATGTGATAAGTACAATCAGATACACTTAGTAGACCAGCTGTTAATTGTCCACCGATCTTATTAGCTGATTGAAGTAAACATATGTGTGTGTGTATTGTTAAGAATATTTGAAAGCGCGAATGCAGTATTTCATTTTGATGTTTTATGATCAACAATTAACGATTGGAAATCATCAATAGTATTAATAGATGTATTGATGAAATACATTGTTATAATAGGTATTAGAATAGAAATAAATGGTTTTCGTAATATTCTGCTGAGACATAGTAATTCAACATTAGTTACTATTACTTGTATTGTTAATTGGTATTTTGTAGCCAGATTCCATAACAAAAAAAGAATAATGCTCACCTCGCAAGAGTGGCTTTTGTTATAGTTATACATGATAATGGAACTTGATCATTGAAACATGGACTAGAGAAGAAACGAAGTTCAGTAATATGTTCAGAAACAATAAGAAGTACTGATCGATTCGGTTTTAATGACTAATATTTTATCAGTATTCTTTTGGATTCTAAGTGAAGATTTGAGAACAAGATCGAATAAATTGATGATGGTGATCACGCTGACGACTATCAATAAAGAGTAAAACTTTTATTGTTCGGAAAACAGTTTTCAATACTCTACAGCTGTATGACTACATAAAGAAATCTTTCAAGATTCGAATTTTCAACTTCTGACAGTGAAGTTATTATTAAAACTATTTCAACTCTAGTGTTCAGATTTTTCAATCTCAATAAAAATCTGTCTGTTTTGATAAGTTTAATGATTCTGCGAATAAATATATCTAGCTTCATTGAATCTAAATATTCTTTTTCAATCTTGAAATACTTTTATTGCTTCTTTGATATAACTAGAGCATAGTAAAACTACGGATTTTTACAGATGCATTCTCGTTGTGTGAAATTAATTAAGTTTTAGTTGGAGCAATTATTTGAACTCGTAATAATACTTACTCACACATAAGCATTTGAATTCCAAATATTTTTTTGAAAGAATTTTTGGCATCATATCTGGTTAAACAAACTATTTTCTTGGTTATATCGCTTAATTCAACGATCAATGTTCGTTTGATTAAGTTCAGTTTATCAATTAGACACAGCACCTGAAAATTGCGTAGAACTAACCTCGTAAAACGAGATTGGTAAAAAGTGATCTTAATAGATTCTAATTCGAGACAGTTATAAACATATCAATATAAATTCCACTGTTATAATCAAACATTCTGTCATTCTTAATACAAGCTGACTATGTTTGCCCTTGCATGCTTTTGAGACTTAGTTTTGGAGAGTTGATCTAATTTAAGAGATAAAAAGTTTGCTCTCTTCCAACATCGGTTTCTTTTTTCTCATGAATGTTTAACTAGTTAATTTAAGAAACTATACAAAACGTTGCAATGAGTCTAATTTACTAAGGTAAACTATAGTTGGTAGAAATTTATTATTTGAAATTCTTCTGGATGAAAGACATTACACTCTTTTCTGTCTGGAAAATCTACAAATCGACATCTATTATCACTTCATTTATCGCCGTATTATTTTTTTATGGACTATAAAAGACAGTTTACCGATCAAAATAGTACCGTATAGTTTGTTTAACTACTGTAAGCAAGAGAATAATCCTTTTCAATCAAAGACGATTCGAAAAGTACTTTCAACAAATCGATGATGCGACAATAAGTATGACTATTAACAAAAAGATTCGCTGTAGCAATAGCGTTATTAATTCTCTCATGTGGCTTTTTATCTACAAAATCAGTATGTCTAGAATGCCATGAGTGCTTCAATATGTATACCATTATTTCCATTTTGAAGTTAATGATGCTCTTTATCGTTTAATGGTAAAATCAGTATGTCATAAGAAAACGTCACGGATTATCGCCTTGTTTCCTCAACTACCATTTTCTGCTAGAATCAATAGTATAATAGATACAACAGTATTTCTTTGCAATAGTAAAGAAAGTCTGATGTATGAATCATACTCTATATTATGCTATTTTTTCTTTCTATTTCAGGCCTATGAAGTCTAATGTAATAACTCTCTTATTCTTCAATATGTTATTATATTGTGTAAACACTTATAACATATTTGAGATATAGAAGACGATAAACAGTTTCTTACTGACTATAGTCTTTCATTTACGAACACTCTGTAGTCTGTACGACCAACGTTTTACTTTGACAAGTATTTCTATCATACAGTTAGCAATAGGACATGGATAAAACCACGATAGTTCAAGCTCATAAGTTCAGATAAATCACGCCAACAGTTTCTTTGATACTAACTACCCTATGTCAACAGTTCTTTTGATAGGAAATGATCTGTCCCAAAAAGATTTTTTCTTATAAACAAAACAACATTATTCTGTTATAAGGAAAGTTTTTTCAAATAACAAAATGTGATTATTTTATTCTGAGAGTTTATTTCCAATAATAGTACAATTTCATTCTGTTTATAAGAGCAAAATTTTTTTAGACTAGGATTGTCATATTAGTATGAATATTAAAAAAAGTAATTGTTAAGCATTAGGAATAAAATTAATCCTAATACTTAGTTATTATTTGCCATTAGAAATAGATTAGAATTACTTTGCACTTTGATAGATTGTTTTCATCTGTGATTAGACTTCCCAACAATTTAGACTTAAAAGTATTCAATAAAAGAAAACTTTTATTCGATTATTGGAACTTGTTTTCTCATAATAGATAAAAGTTCTTTTCGTACCGAGAAGTGTCATTCTCATAATAGAACAGCGGCGTTCTGTAATCAGGTAGTTTTGAGGTTGGGCTGTCAAACATCAAGTTGCGTATAATCGATGTATAAGACTTAGATATAATATTAGTTTTATGCTAATACATCACTATTAATTCATTTTAATACAAAATACTAGCAAAGCATAAAATCGACTTTAGTAAAAATGTTTTTAGACATTAGAATTACTATCAATTAACTCTAATGCTAATTCTCATATGACATTTTCGTACGTCTATTCCAGATTGATAGCTTAGATATAAATTGAATTTAGATGTCATATTTTTGTTAATATAAATAGCTGACGTTTGTTTATAGAATCAGGAAAGAATCGTTTCTGTCAGTAGCCATGCAAAATAAATGATTAATGAAAAAAGAAGATGCTTGTTTTTATAAGAACTAATGTCTATATTTAGGAAAATTAGATTCGAAAAAAAAAGAATAAATTGGATCAATATAGCCATGAATTGACAATGCCGTTCTCCTTATAGTTGCTATCAGAATCTCGAATAGTTTTCTTTAGTTCTCCCACACAGTCCGTAACCAAGTATTTTGATAACAGTAGAAATAATGATACAAAAAGAAAGACATAAGATCTTCGTTGCTTTCTCCTTACTTTATCCACCATCTATCTCATGTTATCAGATTTATAACTTTTATTTTGCAGCTGCATCAATACAATAACAGAAACTGATGTATAGTAGTAGAAAAAAGTCTTCCACGCCCAATCTTCTCCAATATATCGGCCGCTTGGTATGCTTCAGATCTAAAACTATGAGCGCAAATTCTTCCTTCAGAATGTAGATCTGAAACACCAACTTTCTTCGATTTTTTTAATTGAATCAGAATCATAGTGAATGGTAAAGAATCGCATTTATTTACCTTTTTAATATTCATAACTTTAAAAAAGAAGAACTTTGTGGATCGACGCATTCTTCAGTATTTAGTGGTTTGTTCCGGTTATGTACCAGATTAATTTCATCGAATTTCACTAATCTTTCCTATAATTATAGTCATTTTTCTATGACCATTCAGGTGGAGGAAAACACAATCTGCCAACCTCTGGACACTATAGCTCAATAATAGTTCAGTGAATCGAGCTGAAACCTATACATAAGCTTTATCTGTAGTTAGATTTTCATAAAAGAATCCTTCACTAAATGAAAATCCTATCCGAATAATCATCATGTTGGCATAAAGGACTCTGAGATAGAAATCTTCGATAAAGTGATGTGATCTTTCGACTAAAAGAGCATAGGCTGGATCTATTGTAGGCTCAAATATTAGGAATTAGTTGTGGATATGATAAAAGGTAACGGAAAGTTTAATAGACAGTGCTTTTTAAATTAAAAGGTTAAAGTAAAGATAATCACCCTTCATCATAATTTACGTTATATTTAAACTATTGACGTAACCTCTTTTTTCTGAACTAAATTCTTAGTGCAGTACGTGCATATAAATTTTCAGACTAGGAGTATGTATAATAGCCGAAATACGAGGAATAGAAAACTATTGTCCACTATAGTAAACCTTGTTGTTTTTTCTTCTGTATTTATCTTATATTTTATGTTTGAAACAACAAATAATCATGATGCTTCTCTTGTCATATAATTGCATCATTAAACTGTTTTGACGTTGTTTTTTTTACTATTAGCATATATTTCTTAATTAATTGGTTTGTTTGAATAATGAATACATAATTACGTTGTATCATTTGAAAATGTCCTGCTGTGAACTTTATGGTAAGGTCATTGTTAAAATATACATAAAAATAAGAAAAATACGTATGTTCTTTTAGTTATTTTCTTTCTGCTATTAATAATCATGAATGTCAATTGTTCGATATCGTTCAATGGAACATCATCGAAAGATATTCATTTAGAAGCACCGCATTTGAGTGATAAAACTCATAGTAATCGAGCACGAGTTAAACCATTGACAAATGCTAATAGAAGGAAGACTAAACCTATGATAGTTACTGATCAACATTTAATTAATCCATGTAACGGTTCATACGTGAAAACTAATGGGACAACTTGTGGTCTTAAAGAAATAATGCTTGGTCGTTGTCAAGAATATCAATATGTTAAACGTGGTCTTTTTCTAACAAATCAAACGTGAGAAAAATATTTATATTTTGAAAACAAACAGAAAAGAATCGAATTTTCTTTTTCCTTTTAAGTAACATTAAAAATTGTACACAACTTTATGAAGTATTCGAATTAGCAGTTCGGTATAAATCATATTGTAATTTGAATATGAGTACATATGAACGTTATTTTGATCTAGCACTCGAAGGTATACATGTCATCAATCGGGTAAATAAATAATTGATGAAATTCTTGTCTTTGCCTTTTTAGTTTCATTTGTTTCTCATATTAGGCAATGTTTTGGAGTGGTACCTATGCCATTGCTCATACTTATAGTGCTAGTGGTCGCAATTATGTCACTTTAGAAGATACGCTTGCAGCAGCTATGGTTGATGGTCTCCTATGGTGTGGAAAAGAAAATGATACGGAAGGTTTTGATTTTTTTAGTTGTCCATATGCTTGTAAAGATAATAAATGGGCTGATTTAGCTTTTTGGGGTTTGGCATCGAAAACGGTAATATAACGGAAAAAAAGTCTAATTTAGTTTCATTGACATTTTTGCTTGTTCGATTTTATGTAAGTTTGCACAATTAGCAGCCGGTGAGATTTATGTTATTTTAAATGGAAGTCAAGCCAATGGTAGATCAGCATTTCGTAATCATTCTTATTTTTCTTCTTTTGAACTTCCAAATTTACGACGAAATGGTTCATATCGTGTTACAAAAGTCAATGCTCTTGTTTTACATTCACCTGATCAAAAAATTGTGTATGTTTATTCATTATTTTATTCTATTAAAAAAAGAAAATATAAATTTTTTCATTTTGGTTTTTAATAGAGAAAAATGTGGTGAAAAAAGTCTTCTCGATTTAGAAAAAATAGTTCAAAGTCAAGGCTTTGATTTTGCATGTAAAGATGATCCAGAAGAATTAATATTAATTATGTGTAGTGACAAATGGGACGCACGTGAATGTCAAATAGCTCGACAAGTTTTACGACAAACATGGAATATTAAATTACACGGAACATCAAATAGCAATAGGAATTCATTATCTTTAATCGCTTTTTTGTGTCTTTTCCTTATTCAATATTATAGTTTGAAAATAACTTCAGGTCCGATGTAATGAAACCAGCATTAAATAATATGTAGTTAAGTAGCAGAAATAAATTGAGCTAAAAAGTAAACAAAATATAGATCAATTTTCATGAATAATTAGTTTCGATCATTGGTAAATATTAATGACGTGATTTCTTTCATTCTTAATGATGATATGAGACACTTACAAGTATGACAAAAATTATCCATACGATTGTTTTTTGATCGAACGTACTCCCAATATAATAGACTTTTAAAGATTTGATGGATATCAAAAGAATGACTATATCATTCAGTATTTACACTATAAATGTCAACATTATTGATTATGTCTATGTTGAATGCGAGATTAATCTTTGAAAATTGTACATGTGTTAGACGCAAAAATTATTTGTTCTTCTTGATTTCAAAAACTTCAGTTATTAAGTCAATCAATGCAAGAAAAAAACAAAATGATGCGATACTGATGTCACTGGTCATCACAACATATTATCGGATAGTTTTGAAAAATATAATATTTTTTTTTGCTATTTCAAAGTAAAATATTGTCATTGATGTAGGCTCTTAACAACATCTTGATCAATAGCTGACGCATAGAAATAGGAACTAACTATCATTATTTTCATTATCGTAAATGTGGAGATAATATTTTGAGAAAGATTTTTGATTTACAATCCCTTCTCAAAATAAAAATCCACAATTTGTGATTAACAAAATCTGCTTACACACGAATTAGAATTGTACTGTGAAGAAAATACCACAAACGTGTCATTTGTTCTCTCTTGCATCTAATGACTTTATAATTCAGTTTTCTAAAATCCTGAAGAACGAAACAATGTCAGTGTTATCGAAATTGTACCAATAACTTTTGCGTCTAAAACCTGTGTAGGTTTCAAACATTAATCTCTCATTCAATACTGACGCAATCAATAATGTTGATTTTTATAATGTAAATACTAAATTGCCTAATAATTCTTTTGATATTCACCAAAGCTAAAAAAGAAGTTTACATTTTAACAATATGTGATCAGAAAGGAAATTGTACCAATAATTTTTGGCCGCACCTGTATGTGATCTGTTTTTACTATAAACGCAAAATTCACATCATCATCAATTTCAGTGACATTTTCCATAAATAATTAAAGTTTGGTACGTTGAAGAGTCAATGATTTAAATCAGTGACTAAAAAATCTATCAAATGTCTTTATCGTTAAAGATATTGAAGTCGAATGTCAGTTTTAATTTAAGACAAATCAAAATGAAAGACAATATCGTTATTAACAATTTAACATAGATAGGTTCTGATCAAAATTAATAGACAGTCAAATTTATTACTTAGTCAAAATCAACATTTCAATGTTGACTATACAAAGTCGAATTTTTTTTGTTGATGAACAGAAAAAGGCAAGGAATGAAAAAATATTAAAGTAGCAACATCTCTTTAATACACAAAATTTATAAACATATATTGATTGAGTATGTGGGTACAATAGAGATCTCGCTCTTACCCACATCCACATCTAAAAAATCGAACAGTCACTTAATCACACACTTGATATAGACCACTCCCATAAATACACGTACAGACTTCCTTATTAAGATTATACCTTTTTCTGTTAATAAAAAAAAAATCTCAATTTTGTCTAGTCAACATTGAAATTTAAAATTTGACTGAATTTCAATTGAAATCAGATCCGCCAAAGGTAATATTCTAAAATGTTCATGATATGAAAACCAGAAACACGTACTGTATCCATTGTTTTATTTAGCAGAGTCGAAGAGTGATGACAATAGTAATTTAATATGGTACATTATTCACTTAATATGATATTAATAAAATTTCGATAGAAGCTGTTTGTTTTGGTATTTGATGATAACACTAGCAGTTCTCATTGATGGAAAGAAGAGATGAGGACTCATGGAATTGTATATTACAATTTCTTTTCATCTCATTTTTTCAAGGTTTTCAAACGATCTTTTCCTTCATAGATCGATCTCATCAGATGTTTACAATACATTTTCGTTTGTTATATATACATTCGAATTACTAAATGAAGTTCTAAAAACTTGTGTAAGCTCACATGTTCAGATTTTACACATCTGCCATGTTTTTCTTTGAAATTAGTTTTTAGTGTTATCAGTACAATACATAACCAATAGCTTTTATCGAGATTTGACTATTATGATACTAGTTGAACAATGAGGAAACATAGCAGACATTTAGAACAGTGCTTGTTCTACCAGTACTTACAAAGAGTGAGATAGTTTTCTGACACTTTTTATAAAATAATAAAGTATTACGGCCGGCTAATTATCGATTACTCTAACGAGAAAACCATCCGAACTGATACCTGTTGTTAGAACCAATATTGGGTCTACAAATATGACTTGGTGAGACTAGCAAAGATCTAAATGAGTTCGTATGCATAAGTCTTTGAAGCGAACGTATGATGGTTTTAGTGAATTTTAAAATCCAGCTTTAGATATTAATTGAAAATTCCAGTAACAGAATTTCCATGTAAAATTTGGCCCATAGATATGGCTACTAATCCTTAGGATATATTTGAAACTTTCAGCTGAAAAGAATACTGCTTTTTTTGTTGTGATATTGAATTTTCACTAACTCAATTTTGGCATCATGTCTCTGGCAAACGAATCTTGTTTTCGAAAACTTAATATCTCAACAGAAGAACATTTTTCAGCAGAAACTTTCAGGATATTCTACAGGTCATTTGATGCATCTATAAACTAAATTTCATGCCAAATTTCAACTTTTTAATTTTTCAGCATACATCTAAAACTGGATTCGGAAATTTACTAAAGTGATCATAGCTTAGTTCGAAAGACTCATAGGCACGAAAGCTTTAAGACTTCTGCTCACCTCACGCAGGTTACCTTATAAGCCTAATATGAATTAAATTTACGGATATTGATTCAGATAGGTCTCTCGTAAGGCATTTTAATATTGCTTGCTAGTAAAACAAAGACATTTATCAAGAAATGAGAATTAATAACATTACTGAATTTATTTATAGAAAAAAAAAAAAAGAAACAAAATTGTTTTTTTTATTCAAAGAAATATTCTACGATATAGATACAATTGATAGAACGAAAACAAGAAAGGCACACAAAAAGAAAAAGAATTTTTATGTTTATACATCGAGCACTTATGGCTTTATAAATAAAAAAATTTGACTTTTTTATTTGCTAGACAACCGTTGTTGGACTATCATGAGCGAGAACAAGCTAAAACAAAAACAAAAATTTATAATATATTATTCAATAAAAATACATTCATTTTAAATCCCAACAACCCAATAATAAAGAATAGTTATTCTCTCATGCTCTTCAAGCAAATCACTCATGCAAATCAGATATATATATATATATTTTTTGAAATGAGCAGCAAGATAAAAACCCACTTCATCCTCAATAGTATCAGCCAGTGATGAGTCTTTTCGTTGAAAACGCTAAATTATATAATTAAAATTGTTTTATTAAAGAACAAAAAAGAAACCGAACGAAAAGAAAAAAAAAAGATAGAAGCAATCAAATGACTTACTTTAAGACTGGGTGATATACCATTCGGAATGCCATTTTCATTCATTGGACAAACTAAATCATCAGCTTCAATTGAACGTGTTCGTCGATGAGCAAATAAACCACGTGATATTTTAATTTTTGTATGTGGTGTTAATGGTTGATAATTTGGTGATTTTTCATATTGATTTTTACGATTTTGTAAATCATTACCAATTAATTCTTGAAAACGCATTGTTAAATGTCGTCTTAATAATGTTTTTGACATTGGTATTGATAATATTTCTGCTAATGTCGATGCATTAAAACGTAATTCAAGAATCTAAAACGATAATTTTTGTTTTGATTCTTCATAAATGAAGAATATTTTTTTAGTATTTCTTACAATTACAGCACCACAAACACCTGATCCACGTAAATTTGGTGCATATTCAGATAAATCAATTGATCTTAACCATTCCATAACACGATGATTTGACCAATGCATTATTTCAGTCATATCATTTTTATCATCTGGACTTGGACGTCGTTTTATACATGTTGGATTAAAACCATTTAAACGTAAAACTTGTATAGCACGTTTTATACTTAAATGATGAAGTTCATTTGTTATATTTAAATAAATAATATCTTCCTTTAATAGAAGATAAAATAAACAAATGAATAACAAAAATCATTTTTTTTTTTCTTACGAGAGTTAAATTATTAAGTAAACGACCATCAACTTTTGATTCAGCAAAATATTCTTTATATTGTGGTAGACCAATATCATCAAGCCATTCTTTAAAAAAGAAATTATTAAAATAATTAGTTTTAATTAGTGTATATGTATGTATATTTATACTTTGAACCCAATGTGTATCAAGAATATTTGCTTCTGTTTGTCGTGTACATAAACCATTCAAACATAATTGAAGTTTTTTACGATGTAATGGATTACGCATGCCTATTTTCTTAGAATTTTATTAAAAGGAAATTATTTGTTAAATATATATTTAAATTGTTTTTATAATACTTTTTCTAATTCTTGTGGCGTTGCATGTAACAATTGTAACCCATTCTTAAAATGTTTACGACATTCACTTGCATATTGACCAAGACCAATACCATACAACCAATTTACAACTTGTTCAGTTTGCCAACGAGAAAATGTTGTTTCTAAAGCGCTAAAATAAGAAAAATATATAAATTATACATGATTTCTGCTTGAAGAAAATGTTTTTTTTTTCAGAAATAGCGAGAAATTTTGTTCGCTTTTTTTTTATTTATATGTTTTTATGGAGCCCTTTTTTTAATTAAGCCTTATAACTATTATAGAAAATGTTACTTAAATGATTGGAGGGCTATATTTCGAGATATTGAACTTTGCATTCCTTTTCTTCACTTAAACAGAGGAATCTGTCATACTCTCTCAAATAGAAGAAAAATTAAACATATAGAATGAAGATCCATAGAGAATTAAGGGTTCCCGAGTGAGCTATTTTTTGATGAATTATAAATTTTCAAAAAAAAGCAGCACGCTTTAATATCTTTTTAATCGATAACAAATTGAATTTCCTTACTTAATCTACCATTTTATAGAAAAATAAAGAAGAAATTACTTTATATAACAGGCATTATGTATCTATCCCGACCAATTCTTAAGTCAGTCGTATTTTAAAACAATGTTTACAATATTTCTCATCGATCACAAAGAAAATATGTTAGAAATATGATTTTTTTACTATCGTTCAAGGTGAGTTCCAATGAAAAATTGTTTGAAAAACCCACATATCTAAACAAGAAGGTTTCCAATGAGGTTAATAATTTGGTTCTATAATACTTAAAACAACATAATTTCAAAAATGGAATAGATTTTTCATCCATCTACGAACTTCATTAAGCACTTCTTCGTGCTGATGGATTGTGGCTTATGTATAATGGTTGATACGATTCATTTCCATGTTACTAGCGAAGGAACCATTCGAACTGATCAATCATTTTTTCTTCGAAAGCTACCTGAAAACAAGCTATCGACCTTACTGATTTCAAATATCAGAACTACAATCCCCGTTAGAAATTCATATGCTGATTGTTTAGAGAACCAGTTTTCAGACTGACAAACTTCTCGCAAACATTTTGTTTTTGATCTGTCTAGATTGAAAAGCACATTTAATCGCCCCGGAAACCAATAACTTTTTATGCTTCAAATCATCTTGTTTTGAAGAAAATACAGTCGTTATAATTCATTCAATAGATATGCATCAATATTTCAGTATAAAATTCTTCAAAATGATATTATTTTATCTTTAACTCATTTATTGACAAGAGAAAATATTATTGCCTCATAGACAACTTGCTATGTTCTATAATTTAAGGAGATCTAAAACTATTTCGACAATATTTTTATCAATCTAGATAACCAGCATATAAAGATCTATGGAGAGTTCTTATGTACAGATTTGGAATCAGAAATGATCGATAACTTACTATTCAGTAGTTTTTAGTAAGGAAACAATTAATCAATTGAAACTATTCTCTCGTAAGTAAATATGAGAAGCACGGAAGAAATACTCAAACAACCAATCAAGGATGTGTTCGCATGACTTAACTATATATGATTTATTATCCCGAAATCTAATGAATTGAAAGATTGTTTAAGATAAAATTATCTTTCATTACCTAAGTGGTTTAATTGAAGTTTTTCCACTATTAGTTGTTGCTCTTAAACCACCTCGATGAAATGGACTTTGAACTTGAGATTCATTATCTTCACGAAAATTTCCTGAGTTAGTACGAATAATTCTAAATTATTAAGAATAAATATTTTTTTTTAATAATAATTCTTTTTATTGTTGTTGTTTTAGTTTTTACCTTCCGAAAATACTTTTTAATCCTTTTGCACTCGATGATTTATTTTTATCTAAATTTGTTGGTGAAGATTTTTTATAAATTGAATATTTTTGGCTTGGTCCATCAGATATATAACCACTTTGATCATCTAAAGATATAAAATAATTATTAACATCTTATTAACTTTTTTTTTATCTATTTTTTACATGTACGATCAATTCGTTCATCGGATGGAAGTGTTCGAATAATTGTTGATTGTTGTTGTTTATCACGAATAGGAGTCTAGATGATTAGAAGAAAAAAAAACACTCTACATATAAACAATATTTGCAAAGTATTAACATACACTAGTTAATTCTCGAGTCATCATTGGTTCTGCACTTGAAGCCTAAAAATGAGAAAAAAAAATAACAAATGGTTTTTTTTTTCTTTATATATATATTTACTCGTTGTAATACGTCAAGTTTTAATTTTGATAATGGATTTCGATAAGAATTTATACATGAATCATGACCATTATGTGATGATCGAGTTAATAGGCAAGAAGATGATGAAGGAGGTTTTTGAGATGGCTATTATTTAAAAATAAATAGAATTATTATTTTTATTAGAGATCTTTTGTTCTTTTATTATTTTCGTATATAAATATTTTACTTGTGAATCTTTATCACTATTGACAGATGGTAATGAATTTGAATCGGAATTATCACCGTCTGCTTCGTAACCAGGTCTTTGTATATTATTATTATTATTGTTATTATTGACTAAATAAAAATCAAGAATAACCTTTACATGATCATATTTCAAACTAGTTATTCATACTAGTATTCTCGACCTTTTTTATATTAGCCGACGAAGATATTAATGAAGTTCCATTTGTTGTTGATATTGATGATAAGGCAATTGATTGATATTTATTTATTTGACTTTGTAAATCTTCGATTTTTCTTTCCTATTATAGATAATATATGATATGTTAAATATAAAATATTAGAAAATATGAAGGATACTTACTTTTTCGTCGTTAGTTTTGACAAGAGATTCAATACGTCGTCTTAAACGTTCGATATCGTTCTCTAAGAAATAAAACAGGCAAATTCTAAGCAACTGTCTGTCAATGACATTTAAGGAAGCAGAACAATGAGTATATATATGAATATATATGCATATATTTATGAGAAAGAGAAAAAGAAAAGCGAAAATAGACTCACAGATGGAGAAAGAAAGAAAAAAAGATGTGGATCATTTGAACTTGCCAACGTGTGAACATTGAATGACCTCGACTATCTACAGCTGACACACGTACATTGCCATTTTGTGCTCTATTCTTTTTCTTTTTTTTTCGTACTTACCACGACGAGTAGAAGATTGTAATGAGTATCGTGGTGGAAGTGCACTAGTGGTAACATGTTGGTAGTCAAAGATCCATGGTTCGGAATCAATCTCGGACGTAACATAGGACGACATTCGAGTTCTAGACAATATTTCCCAGTCAGAAACTCAACCTAGCACAATATAATTGTTTGATAGATTGGACAATCTTGTACATATACATGATAGATATAAGCATATAAGAGAGAAAGAGAGAAGAAGGAGAGAAGAAAAGAAACAAAGGCGAAGAAAAAGAAGAAGACAAATATCTAGGAAAATAGTATTAGAACGAGTAGAACATCATTATCATCTTCATAGTGTATCCTCTCGTGCTCCTTTTTCTCCCATAGGGAATGTTTGACCTTGCCTTGAAGAGATTGGTCAAATAGAAGTAAACTCGTATGTACGCCTCCTACACAAGGATTAGAGACTTATTGCATCACAAGATATTTTTTACCAGATGTTGACAATGGAGTAGTTCGTCCATTGAGCGCTGATGTTGATCGAGATCCAATCCAATCATTATTTCCATTAGATAGACGATTTTTATATGTTTCATTTTCTTCCTTGAAAAGAAAGAAAAAACAAGAAATTTTTAATATGAATTTTCATTTAACAAAAGATATAAAGACCAAGAAAAAGATAGAATATACCTGAAGTCGTCGAACTTTATCTTCAAGTTCATAACGTTCTTTTTCTAATGTATCAAGACGAATTTTAAAATGATTTATTTCATTTAAAAATTGTGATGAATCAATTATTGTTGGTGATTGATCCTAAAAAATTGAAGTTGAATCAAAACGAAATTTTTTTTAAGATTAGACATGTATTTCGTCTTTCTTTTTTTCCTATACAAATGTTTTTTTTCATCAGAAATACTATAAATGCATCACATATTGTCATTCTTTCATTAAAAATAATATGCTTAACTAACCTTTACTTTTTTTGATGGCATTATTCCACCTGTAGTCTGTCGTATGTGTGTAGATTTCGTATGGCTACTATTGCTATTATTACCATTACTAAGACTACCACACGCTAATGTTTTGACTACGGTACTCATTTCGAACACAATGAACGAATGTGAGTGATGGATGAAATACTGACCATGGCGAAGGTATGAAAAGTACAGGCATACACAAGCCAAGCGTCAACCTGTTCTCCTTTCCTTTCTCGTTCTCTTTTTTTTTTCTTTCATTGATATTATTTTCGTATTTTTCTTTGTCTTTCTTTTTCTTTCTCACTCTTATACGTGTCCCTTTTTCTGTCTACGAGTGTTCTGTTTTCGATGGTAATGATGACGACGTCGACAACTACCAATCTATTCACTATGCGCATATTCTCTTTAGCATTTACAATTACGTTGAGCGTCTACGAATGCATACGAGAGTAAAAGCAAGCACACGAGTGTGATTGTTCTTTTTCTTTTACTCTGTGGTTATATGTATATATATTTTGGATCTTATACAGTGACTGACCGACATAACATTTCTTCTCTGAGTACTACTTTGATCAGATCATCTAATGAGATACATATATATATAGTACATACACGATGCATAAAAGATGGTTGTTGTTGATGAACATGAGCATGATAGAAATTAGTTGTATTCGTTGTTGGATTACGATATTTTGGTTTTGTTCTACGTTGTAATTGTTCATATTCATGAACAATATCACGTTGAAGTTCTAATTTGTCAGTTAAAACTTGTATTTGTAAATTTAATGAACTACGTTCATTTTCTAATCGATGTAATTTTTCTCTTAAATGATCCGCATTCTAAATAAATAAAAAATTTATTATCATACATCTGGATTAATATATTCATATAACACATTTTCTTTATTATTTTTTTAATCTATCAATAAATCTTTTCCTCAGTCGGTGGTTGCATATATTAGACACAAGATGTTTTGTTTTTAATATAAAGGTCTTTTGTGCTGTTTTTTTTTGCTTCTCATTGATAATAACTAGCAATTAGATCTAAACAGAGATACTATGTTTATTTCATTGCAAGACAATATTAGTATAGTAATCATCATAGAAAAAAACTAACTAGTCTTACCCAGAATGATTCCATTGGAAAATATTGATGTTTATCATCTCGTAGCATCTCATCTATCTTCTACGATATCGATAGAAGTCAATGATCACGATTATGGTCATTTTCTTTTTTTCCTACTGCATGCATCTGTGTTTTATAGCTTTCTGAACAAATCAGTCAGACCAATGAAATAGAATGTGTATATGTACGTGTCTATGTCGAGATGAGAGAAAGTATATGGATGCCTATATAAGCAAAAGAAAAAGAATCAAGAAAAAAGTCTGATAATAGACAGTGATACGTCAAAGATATGTGCAGACAAGAATGGCATAAAAATCGATGCAACATATAATATATATATATATATATAAATAAATATTATTCTGATAAAAATTAACCTCGACACATGTCAGAGTCAAATATCTCAGGCAATATATAAACAAGACTTCAAAGAAAACAAAAAAAAATGTTTCCTAACTATAATTTTAATGAGACAACTAGTTCATACAATAAAATATTGATACAGATTATGCCAAAGAAAAGACAAAACTAATGGTTATTTTTAGTAAATATGTCTTGACAAATACTTGTTTGTTGTTGTTATGTTTGAATGATATGCTTTTTTTTTCTTACAAATAGCCTTATCAAATAATGAATGAAAATGATGGATCGTTTTCTTTGCATCTCTGTCTTCAGTGACATTGCAATTTAGCCCCTCGAAAAAATATGATGATATCTTGCTTTTCAAATACATTAAAAACACTATTTATTGCTTTTTCCGTCCGTTATATTACTAATCGATCATATTTTGGAGAATATGTTCGAGTAAACAAAACAATGTCAGCGTTATTTTTGACAATGACAAAAAAATATCTTGTTAATCAAACTTTGTGGAATAATATACTTACTGTTCGTTGGGAAATGTAGGAGTAATCTGCAATATTCAATGATAATTCAGTACGATATCGTTGGTTATTAAATGTAGTTGGTGAAAAATGTCCATTTATATTATTATTAAATGAGGTAAGATTAACATTAGGCATTGAAGATGTTGGTAATTTGAGTGGAATTCGACCGATAGCAATATTAGACCACTTTGTAGTCTCATTCATTGTCATTCCTACCATGTTTTAAGATTAGTATCCTTTAATCACTATTTGTCAAAAGCATTGTGAGTAGCCTGTATGATTATGATGACATCATCATCATCATGATATTGATGAGATGAAAAGAAAAATGTATAGGGATACGTTAAATGTATGTTGTAATAAAAACGATTTGAAATTGATCTATCTTGATCAAAAAATAACAAAAAAAATGATATCGTTTTCTTTGTGCACTATTTATTATAATGGTATATGATCGTCCATCATCATTACATTCACATAGACAATATCATCTCAAAATGGGAGAGAAGAAAAAAAAAGATCGTTTTTTCTTTTCGTTCTTGTTTCATTAACAAGCTCGATTAAATGTTACGATTGATATTAAATTGAGATGATTGAAAATATAATTTTCTATAACGAACGTGACTGTATCTGTCTATACGTCATATAAAAAAAAGATATATATATATATATATATTAATAGGTTTTGTATTGTATTCAAAATTACAGGCAATTATGATTGTCCTTTTGTCAATCTCAATTGATCGATATTTGTGCTTTTATATATATATATCAATACTTATATTATCCATATGAATGATTTCACATCATTGAAGCATATTACTTTTATGTATGATTTATATGTTAATTTCGTGTCATAGTTAAATACTGTCGATAATGCATATTGTGCACGCGTACACATATGGAGTTTTAAGTCTAATACATAGATTGTTTATTGCATCATACATACAATTCTTGATTTCATATCTCAACATAAATGTGTTCTTTCATTCACATGAATTTATTTATCTAGTACTGATAACATGGTCTTTCGATCTTTTGATGTTAGATGAATGACAGCAGCAACAGACTCTTTTATTTCTCTTCCTTCTGTCGGTTTTTTTTCTTTTGTGCACAACAAATGAACGAACACGCAGATCAAAAAATAGGTAATGTGTGTGTATGTTGATGTTGCTTTAACAATAAAATAAGAAAAGGGCAATAAAAGATGATAGTAATAATAATTCTAAAGTAGAACGAAAAAAAGCCAGAAAACAAGAAAAACTTTGTTTTGTTTCTGGTTTCACGGTCCACTCTTGAACAATCGAAAAAAAAAACAGAAAAACAGACGAACGATAACGATTTTATTATACACGCACACAAGAACATCTGAGATCATAATCAAAAAAAAAAGGAGAGAAAGAGAGAATAAAAGAAGATATCAAGGTATTGATGAACCTAATTTATGTCGAATCGGTTGTTTTACTCGAACTGCCTGATTTAGTTCGTGCTGTTGAATTCGAATCCGTATTTAAAGCCACTTTTGATTGATCAGACCAGAATTTGTCCACCTAAATATACAAAATAAAAAATTTTGTTTTCATTCTCATTTTCTTTTTTCGTAATTTACCAATTTTATAATATGTGTTTTTGTATCATTATCTCCTTTGGCTGATGTTTTCGGATTAGTAGCATTAGTTAATTGTGATGGAGGGTCAATTGAAACATTTTCTGCACGATATGGTTCAACAATTCGAACGGTATTATTAATAAGAATATCATTATTTGACCAACGAATAACTTGATTCATTCTATAAGAGAAAAAAACGAATAAAACATTTTTTTTAATGTTTAAATCGCATAAAATAACAAATTTACGTCTTTTTGATATCTCGAAAAAGTGCTTGACCAGTTCGACTAGCTTTTAAATTAACAAATGATGCTTCTTTTTTCTTTTCAGCTTCATTTTCTGTTTGACGTTTTTTTAACTAAATTAATAATAGAAATTCATTTTTTTATTATTTCTTTTATTATGATATAAACTCGTGGAAAAAGTTTAACAACAACGTATTTTTATTGATTTTTTTTCCAAAATGTTAACCAACTAGCTCCACTCAAGGTAATAATTTCAATAGCCTTTTTTTTAGCAAAGCCATTCTAAAGAGTACAGAATGTGGGTCGCCGCATTTGCTATGACTTTTTCTAAACAAATTAATGGTAGTAGAAAAAAATTCCATGACAGATGCTCCGGCGACAGTTGCTCCCAGGCGACAGTTGCTCCCGCGACACTTGCTCCCGCGACACTTGCTTTCTAACGACAGTTGCTCCTCAGCGACACTTGCTCCCAGGACACTTGTTTCCACGATACCTGCTCCCAACGAGAACTACTCCTCGGACACTCGCTTTCGCGGCACGAGTGTGGGTGTGAATGGGCAAAGAAGTGATGGACATTTACAGCCACTGTATCTCTCACGCCCACATCCATAATCGTACTCACACCCGCCCACAATCAAACTTGTACCCACATACACATTCTCACCCACACTTGCGTCCACACCCACTCACAGTCACACTCATACCTGCACGCTCACCCACCCACAGTCACACTCATATCTACACCCATACTCACACTCGCACCCACACCTGCACCAATACTCACACTCGCACCCACACTTTCACTCATACCCACACTGGCACCCACACTCATAACCATAATCCTGCCGCGGGAGCATCTGTCTGGGAAGCAACAGTCGTTTTACCTTAGAAAAACTGTAAAAAACACAATTCACGAGATAATTGGCTAAATAACCATATGTTTTTCGATTTTTGTGATACTTTTAATTTTTTAACGTAAAGTCGTAGAAAATGCGACATGCTGCCATTTTCTGCTCTTTAAAGTAGCATTGTTAAAAAATAATCTTCTAAAATCTGAAATCTCCAGTGACTTTTTTCAGAAATCTTGCCATCGTACTTAGGCATACCAATAGTAGTGATTTTGAGCTAGTAGGTATGCTTAATTAATCATAATTGATTTTTAGAAAGTATTTTTCACATAATTTTCGATTAAAAAATTCATCCTTTCGGTTACAGTTCTCAATACAGTGAATACATGAAGCGACAGTAATTGACAACTAACTCGAGCTACATTACACAAAAATTAGTTCAGATGCTTCGCACCAGAAGACCTATAATCGAACAAGCTCAATCAATGACAGTTGGGCACCGTAATTTAGCTTCAAAACAAGTAGTCAAATACTCTTTTAATAATTGGTAGATACGACAAGAAGAGAAACTTCTAATCATCAGTGCCATATCAATCATTGCTTACAATCACTTACTATTGCAATGAGAAGATAAAGTTCATCGACTATCACTGAAGGTATCAAAATTCATTATACGTCTAACTACATATTCAGTAACATGCATTTGTCATCCTGCATCAGCATTTATCATAATTATTTAATGTTCATCTTCTTCTACAGATGAAGTACTACTACGTATTTTTCAAGTATTCGATCTAATTGGTAAGCTTTATCAATCAAACGGACTTTAATCAATACATGGAGTGTTGTAGCCAAGATGGTGAGTTTTTCAATCGAAGATTATTTTAAAAAATAGCTTTAACAAATTTTTTCAAACAAATTCATTGTGTGTGTGTGTTTGACGATGTTTATTAGCTCTAATGTTTGTTGGAGTGAAGACTTGATTAAAGCATTCCTGTGGAATTTTATCAGTCAAAACACTATTTTTTAGTATGTCCTGAGTAGTTTATTCATGAAATCTTACAAGGCAACCACCTGAGATGATACTTCGCGTGTGAAATGAGACCACAGCGATTATATAGGACCTGTTGAGAGTAGAAGTAATTTGTAAGAATTCTTCAGCATGTGTTGCAATTTTGGTGTTATAGTCGTTATACTGAACTTTTATCTTTGACAATTTATTCATAAAAAATTCGGACAAACGAATTGTAGTCTAGAACTTTGCTCATAGACTTCTCTTGAAATTTTTAAAACCTTCTAAAAATTCTAGCGGCAAAGGTCTCTTCTCGAGATATCAAATCCATAAAAGAACCATACTATTCCACTAAAAGAATCTGAAATCTAGATTTTTTTTTGTGGATATCATATCTTGAGAACAGACCACTTTTTTACAGCTGAAATCTTTAGGAGACTCTAGTGACTTCAAGAGCTGTTTATGGACAACGTGCTAGGATAAAATTCGTTTGTCCATTTTTTTATAGATATCGTTTCATAAGAAAAAAAATGCTTGGTAGCAGTCATAACTCTACAAGAATAATGTCTAGAAAACAATGCTTCTAGGTTTCCTCTAGTTCCCAAAGTTTCTACGTGATCATTGAGATTTCATCTCAAATCCGAGATATCACCTTCAGTTGTTCCTTCATTAATATAGAATGCATTATTTAGAAAACTCCATTGGATATAAAAATCAATATGTGAATTTAAGCTAATTGCTTAACATTATAAAAACGAAGATAAAAAATACGTTGTTTGTTAAATTCTTTTTCTATCAGCTTACTTTATTTATATCGATTGGATAAAGTGGTTCAAGTGTTTCATCATTAGGTTCTTTTATAACCACCCATTCTCGACAATGTATTAAATTAACAACAGCAATAGATGTCAAACCTGGTTTTGAACCTTTCATATCTAAAAAAAATTTTAGCATTAAAAAAGAAAATTTCTTTAAATTCTTTTTATTTACGTAATGTAACCATATTTGATCCATTATCAAATGCTACAACTTTTCCAATACGAATATCATCAAATATAGTTGTCAAACGTACAGTACTATTCACACGTAGATTATTTGGTGGTGGTGATGGTGTTGGTATTGGACTTGAATCGTTGCTATTGTCTCGCTTGACAATTTGTGAATTATCATGATGATCCATCAAACGCATTTCATAGAAAAAGAAAACAAATAAAACTAACTAAAAAAAAAAAAAAGAAATTCTACTTAGAACATTAATCAAAAGGAAAAAAAAAGGTTTCTCTTACATATGTATTGAAAAGAAAAAAAAAAAACTTTAATTCATCATTAGGTTTTTTTTTTATTTTCTAGAAATACAAAAAAAAAAACAATTTCGATTAAAATGTATTAGGTTTTTTTATCTGAGATTATACACAAGACAATATTGAGGGTTTATTTTTGTTTTACAACATGCAAAAAATGAAAAACAAAAAAAAAAAGTGATCTGACCTAAATGAAATGTGACAATTAGTAATTAGATACGCTAACTAATAATAATAATTAAAAAAGAAAAAGAAACAAAACAAGACTAGAAAATAATTAGAATACACTTATTAAAATATGTTCAATGATTGCTATCTAACGCAGCAGCTACTTTGTAACCACGATAAGTCGGGTTTTGATATTTGACAGTTGCTTGTCGATATAATGGATTAACATCCTTTGAAAAAAAATATCTATAATATCAAAAAAAAAAAAAAACTCTCATTTCTATGAAATCTTACGGTTTCCCATTTAGCTTTTTCGCGTTCTTGTTCAAATTTTGCAAATTCTCGTCGATCATGTAATGTTGCTAACATACGCCATATCATTAAACAAAATAAACCAAATGCTAATATACTTGATACGATAATTATGATTGTTAAACGAACAGATAATACACGTCGACAATCTTCAAAAAAAAGAAAACAATTGCTTTTTATTATAAAATAAGAAAAAAACAACTTTTACTTTTAGTTTTTTGAACTCTTAATACAAGTTGATCATTTTCATTATGATATGTATAGAAAAAACGACATTGATCTTGTTCATCATCAAATTGACATAAACGATAATTAAGATCTTCTTTTAAAGCAAATTGAATAAATTGATTGAAAAAATGAAAAATAAAACAACAACAACAACAAATTCGTATTACTTCGAGCATCGTCAATTGACTCAAAACGATATTGACATCGATCACATTGTTCTTTTGTTAATGGTCCACTTTGAAATATTTTACAAAGAACACAATCTTTCGTAGCAGCACATCGATGTTCACATGTCTAAAAGAATTTGGAGAAAATTCAAGAAGATTTTATGTATATCTAATATGTTATTTCAATAGAATTCTATTGTTTCATTCACATATTATTACGATTTGACAAAAATACACATAAATTCTATCATTCTAGTTTCGAGATGGATGGGACCTAGATTTCTTGCTCGCGGTCTCTGCGACATTTGTTTTATCGGTTCCAATGATAGTTCCGATGGCTTGTATTCTAGTGGTTCCGATCTCAATCATAGTTCCGGTAGTTTCTTTTCTAGTGGTTTCGATCCCAGTGATTTTTAACTTTTAGCTTCCGCTCAAGAGAAATCTATTCGAGAACTTATTCGTTGTCATATCTATAAAATTTTCAATACTTGTTTCTTTTTATTTAATTAATGGTTAGGAGTCTTTTGGATTATCTTTGTTGAATTATGTTCAGCTTAATGATTTATAAGACAATTCGCTTAAAACCATAGAATATGTAACTATAATCTTTTGTCCTGACTGAGTGTATTTTTCCTACAGTCGCGTGTATACCTACTCTAGATGTCTTTTTGAATATACTGCTCGTTTATTCTGAAAACTTTCTCTATGCTTATACAGATACAATTCAAATCAAACATATCCTATCAAACTAATTTCAGTATCTAAAATCTCTGTAGACCTTTGACACACATTTTTCATATGTCTTATTTTGAAAAAAAGAAAAACATAACTAGTTTATCCAAACTAGAATATGTCAATATAACTAAATATATTAATTTACAGGACAATCTTCACATGTTGGTCCAAGATAACCAGAATCTTTGTTACATTTACATCGACCACATTCACATACACCTTGATTATTGCAAATAGTCTGAAAAGAAAAGACGTTCTAACGATAAAAAATACTCGAGAAAAAATTGTCTTTTACATTATTAACAAGACAACTATCAGTTTTTGTTGTACATGAACAATCATCACCTGTCCAATCTTCTCGACATTTACATCGTTTATCACAACCACATATACCATGATCAGGTCCTAAATTTTAAATAAAATAAACACAATTTTCATAAACAATATCGACATACCCGAACAGACAAGATCATTTTTTCTTGGACATGAAAAATCATCACATTCACAATAATCACCATAGATGCGTTGACCAGGCTAAATAATAAACAGAAAAATAAAATTTTAAATTATTTTTTCTTTCGTTTTTTTTTACTTCAATTGTTGCTATTTCACATTTACATCTTCCACAAACACATTGTCCTCGTCCAGAACAAACATCTGATGAGCCCGGTCTATATAAAACTCAAGTTAATATTCAAAAAACAAAAAAAAAACTTTATTCTTACTTTTTACATCGTTCAATTTTTGATTCAATTGTTGGTGATGCTGTATCACATTCACATTCACGTCCATAAAAACCTTTTGCACATGTACATACACCACATTCATATATACCATGATTTGAACATTTTGGACTATTTATTTGACGTGGAACTTTTGAACATGAACATGAACAATTCGTTTGTACTGTTAGACGCATTTTATCATTTAATCCATGTGTATAAATTGAAAATGTTGTTGCTGAACCATCATTGATACATTTTGTTGCAAGAATTTCAACTTCAAAATTAAGCTGTATGAAAAAAAAATCAAACAAAATTGATGAATAATTTACTTGATTATACTTACAACACCACCAACATTAACAGTACATTCAGGCTTATCACGTTTATTTCTAAACAAAACGGTAGAAAAAAAAAATGATTTCAAAAAAAAAATTTCAGAATTACTCTTGACAATCAGGCGTAAATTTAACTGTTAAACCATCAGGTAAATCATTGGAAACCATCATCATAACAGATGATGAAATTTTCTAAATACAAAAAAAAAAAACAATTATTCAATTTATTAAATGAATAAAAAAAAATACTTTATAATTTTGACTAATTAAATTAACAATATTACTAGAATCTTGTTTTAATTCTCCAACAACTGCTCCATCAATCAATTCAGTAAGTGTTTGATAAAGAGCTAATTGTGATTGTGTTACAGCAAATATAATATTCACATTTTTTTCACTTAATTTGGCACTTATTTGTCCAATAGATGGGTAATCCTTATACAAATATAGTTTGTTTTTGTTTTTATTCAAGATAATTAAATTCTTACTTGTTTATCACTATGTGTATATTCATTATTAGACATATGACATTCACCATCATTTGGTTCGATAATACCTGCCAACTAAATATAGAAGGAAAATAGAATGAACAAGTTTTTTTTCTTTTTCTAAACAATAACAATTCCATCGTAAAGAAAGTCACAGTATTTATATATTTAATATTCTCTACACAATCTAATATATATATATATATTGTTTTCATCGCGTTTGAAAACAATTTAAGCAATATAAGAACAAACAATTCGTTAACTAGTTCGATTGATGGTATGAATTATCTCAATACTATTGCTAAAAGAATGACTGTATATAACACTTTGCATTATTCTATTGAAAAATCTAATGGTTAATAGGGCATGTGCAATCAACCATATCATGACTTTGTAAGAAACTTGATTAAATGTTATAAGGATTAGTAATTCATTTCTAAAAATAAATTATTAATAGTGTATTCATTACATACTCGTCCATCGCCTGCATAATGAAAACCAGCGTCTGTTGAAAAAACAATTAGTTTTCGAGAATCATTTCGCCAGCCAATAATATCCTTTAAAAGTCAAAATGAAAATCTTGTTTTTTTTTTTCTTCCTAAATATAACTCGATTGACATACATCACAAACAATAGCTTGCATAATAGCATCAAGTCCACCTTCAGGTGCATCAATATTTCCTGAGACTGGTGCCTCTCGTACTTGATACTAAAAAAAAAAAAAATAAATAAAAGCAAAATTTCAATATATTTTATTTCAAGTATAAAATTCTAACTTCAAACTCAGTAACATTATCTGATAAACTCATATGATGTTTAAATCCATAAGCTTTAACACATGGTCCATTATAACTAGCTGGACAAGGACGTTCGACTCTAATTAGAAAAAAACAAAAAATTATTTAATTAAAATTTTAGTCTTTAAAGTCTTTTTTTTTTACGTATTCGGTGCTGGTTGTACAAATGGAGGAACATTTTTATCAACAAATGAACCAAATCCAAGACGAAAATTTTTTGTTATTGATTGCATTTTTGTTGCTAATATACGACCTAAATGACTTAATTTTTCTTTATCATCAAGCATTGAATGGGATAAATCCATAAGAAAATATAAATCAACTGGATAATCTTCAGCTTGACGAAAACGTATTGGAATTTTTTCCGAATCATCTAAAAGAAATTTAAAGAAAAAAAATAATTTAAAAATTTTATTTTTTTTTGTTTTAATTTACTTATTCGTAATATAACATGAACGGCCTGAGGTGATAATTGAACAGCTTGTGATGTATTATTAATAGCATTTGAAAGAGAATCATTTTGTAGAACATAATGATAACTTTTAAATAATATTAAATGATCTGGACATGTTATTTGTAAATTATCAATTGTATCACAATGAAAAAATGAACCATTACGTATTGATATATCAGTTGAATTCTATTGAATAAATTTTAAATGATTTATTTTTTTTTTTGAAATTATTAATTTTACTTGAGTACACCAAGCACATTGATTTGATAATGATAGACATGATGAACATGTTTCTTTTGAATTACATTGTTCTAGAACGAGAGCATTTTTTTTTTCTGTTTATTTAGAAAAAAAAAAAGAAATTTAATGATTTACCTATACTACTGATGACATGAATTATGAATAAAAGAAATAATATTAAATTGATTAAAAAGAATTTTATTAGCATTGTTGAGTGGAGAGAAAAAAACTACAAACGA